AGAGGGGACAGAGAGGGGACAGAGAGGGACAGAGAGGGACAGAGAGGGGACAGAGAGGGGACAGAGAGGGACAGAGAGGGACAGAGAGGGGACAGAGAGGGACAGAGGGACAAGGCAGGGACGGGGGACAAGGGGCACTGGGATGGACTGGGAGGAAACTGGGATGGACTGGGACAGGGTCCCTGGGGTGTAGGGAGCTGTACTGGGCCATACTGGGATATACTGGGATATACTGGGGGATACTGGTGTCCCTGTGCCAAGGACTGGGCCCCTCCCAGTTTACCCCAGTTCCCCTCAGTCCCTCCCAGTCTGTCCCAGTCCATCCCAGTTTATCCCAGTCTGTCCCAGTCCCTCCCAGTTCGTCCCAGTTTGTCCCAGATTGTCCCAGTCTGTCCCAGTTTGTCCCAGTCTGTCCCAGTCCGTCCCAGTTTGTCCCAGTCCGTCCCAGTTTGTCCCAGTCTATCCCAGTCTGTCCCAGTCCCTCCCAGTTTGTCCCAGTTTATCCCAGTCCGTCCCAGTTTATCCCAGTCTGTCCCAGTTTATCCCAGTCCGTCCCAGTTTGTCCCAGTCCATCCCAGTTTATCCCAGTTTATCCCAGTCTGTCCCAGTTTATCCCAGTTTATCCCAGTCCCTCCCAGTCCGTCCCAGTTTATCCCAGTCCGTCCCAGTTTGTCCCAGTCCCTCCCAGTCCGTCCCAGTTTGTCCCAGTCCCTCCCAGTTTATCCCAGTTTATCCCAGTCCGTCCCAGTCCCTCCCAGTTTGTCCCAGTTTATCCCAGTTTGTCCCAGTCCGTCCCAGTTTATCCCAGTTTGTCCCAGTTTGTCCCAGTTTATCCCAGTTTGTCCCAGTTTGTCCCAGTTTGTCCCAGTCCCTCCCCCCCGGTTATTTCGGGCCCCCCGCACCTGTCTCGGCCCCGCCCCTCCCCCACCCGGCCCCGCGCCAGCGCCCCTCCCCCACCGGGACTGGGACGGACTGGGACAGACTGGGACAGACTGGGATAAACTGGGATAAACTGGGACAGACTGGGACAGACTGGGACAAACTGGGATAAACTGGGACAGACTGGGACAAACTGGGAGGGACTGGGACAAACTGGGACAAACTGGGAGGGACTGGGGGGAACTGGGACAAACTGGGACAGACTGGGGGGAACTGGGACAAACTGGGACAGACTGGGATAAACTGGGACAAACTGGGACGGACTGGGACAAGCTGGGACAGACTGGGACAAACGGGGAGGAACTGGGACAAACTGGGGGAACTGGGAGGGACTGGGACAAACTGGGACAAGCTGGGACAGACTGGGACAAACTGGGACAAACTGGGACAGACTGGGATAAACTGAACCGGTCCATACTGGTCTGTACTGGTCCATACCGGTCCATACTGGTTTATACTGGTTTGTACTGGTCCATCCCGGTCCGTACTGGTTTGTACTGGTTTATACCGGTCCATACTGGTCCATACTGGTCCATACTGGTTTATACTGGTCCATACCGGTTTATACCGGTCCATACTGGTTTATACTGGTCCATACCGGTTTATACTGGTCCATAC